CACACACACACAGTAAAACCCTCCAAAGAAAGCAAGACAAAACAAAGCAAAATCAAAAGTAAATAAAATCACAGCACTCAATGTTTGTAATATTAATATTGTGACGAAGAGGTTGGCGTCGTGGAAATCTATACTATGATGTCAATGTAGTGCTTAGCTGTTTTTAAAAATAGTCCATAAGAAACGATGACAAAATTGGATCAAACAACCTGACCCCGTTTCTTCTGCCAAGCCTAACAATTTTGTGGGTTTTATATACCAGCGAGTGTGTATATCTTTAACTTTACTGCAGGAAAGAAGAGAGGGAATTCCGATCCGTGACAAATACATCTTGATTTACGATCCACCTTGTCGTGAATAAAGGAAGAAAAATAACAACACAAACAAACCGAAATAACGTAAAATCATAATATTGTGTGTGTGTGTTAGAGAGAGAGAGGGTGAGAGAAAAATAAAGTTAGGGCTTCTGTACTCCCAATTCGGGTTTTATTTACAGTGACTCAGCGAGGTCTTGGCCTGGAGTGTTAATTCTTAGTTTCTGACTTCTTGAAGAAGTTCTTCATATTACATATACTGCGTTTATAGGACTTATTTCTCTTCACTATCTTGATCAGAGAGCACCACTTTTAGTCAACTGACAGAGCCTGTGAGTCTGTGAGTATATGCTAGCTTAATATCCTGTGTCTTGATCACTTAGATACTTTTTCATACTTTCGGTACCTTATGTTTTAAAATGGATTTTATGTTGAAATTTAATTTTTCTGAACCTTTTACATGAATGTTTTCTATGTTTACCCATCACTGTCTATATTTCTATATAAGCCTTACATGTATTTATACATTAATATACACGTGTCGTGTTGTATTCGCCATATATGTAAATGAATGCCGTCTGTACGTGAATGATGCTTGCATTTTAATATTAGGCTATTATAAGCTGCTTACATTATCTTTGTCTTGTAAAACTCTGTGGGAATTGTAAATTATGGAAATGTGTTATACGAATGCCATAAATACCACGCACATGCACATGCACACCACACACCACACACACACAC